ACACACACACACACACACACACACACACACACATTCTTCTGATTATCAATGCAATACAAGTTAGTTCTTGAAAGTTTTAGGAAAAAATTGGCTAGTTCTGCATGTAAGGAGCTTGGAAATCATCACTTGTTCCTAGCAACAAGTGAAAGCTGAACAGACTGAACAATCAACAACTCTTCTTGGATCCTTAAGAAAGGTGAGGACACTCAGGGCAATCCACTGCTCCCAAGATTGGAGAGACAGACAGATGAACACAGGTAGTCTCAGCTTACTAGAGCAGACACTCTCAAGTAGAAACCACTGTGGGGACCAGTGCCAGGATAGCAAAATCTGAACTGTAATTGATGAATTGCTGAAGATTAAGAGTGGACAAGTCTATGAGTTAAAAACTCCAGCGGGGAGAGGATTCTGGGAAGATGGCAGAGTGAGGAAGTAGCAAGTATCTGTATCCATACCTAGACAATAATTATACTGGCAGAATCTGTCAGAATGTAACTATTTTAGAGCTCTGGAGTCTGTTGAAAGCCTACAACTGACAGGGAAGCCTTGGATAGTAAATTGAAGATAATTTCTGTCGATTTTAGCTCACAGTAGAGTAGTAGCTAGCTATGCCCACTCCTGGCCCTATGACAAGAAGCTGTGCATATGTTTGTGAAGCAACCTTTACACAACTCACAGAAACCAGGGTGGGTAAAAAGGATTCTATCCTAAATATCAGGGATCTGTGCTTGATCACTGCTGCTTCTGATAAGAGGTGTGCAAAGAGGCAGGCAGCCACTTTTGCTGTACCTCAGTCCGTTGTTGTAAGCCCCTCTCTCCCTCTGGCTAAAGTGACTTCCAGTGAAATTAAAAGGCCAGTGCCCCTCCTCCACTGTTTCATATTTCTCTTTTTTGCTTTGAGAACCAGACATTAAAGGGTAGGACATTCAAAAGCAACTGCCTATATGAGGAAAATTAGAAAGTGGCCGTGCATGCCTAGGGAAAGGCACAGGCTCAGAAAAGACCTGAGAAGACCCTAAGTTTACAGTGCAGGCTGATCCTTGTCACAGAGACAGCCTACAACAATAAAAAAAAAACAAAAGCAAAAGCAACAACAACAAAAAACCAGCAAACCCTGGGGAAGGAGGAGAATCTGATATCCAGAGCTTCCATATTATTAGATTCAAATGTCCAGTTTTCAAAAAAATCATGAGGCATACAAAGAAACAAGAAAGTACAGCCCATTTGCAGGAAAAAAAATAAACAGAAACTGACCCTGAAAAAAGGTAGATCTGTTGGTAGATATCCTAGACAAAGACTTTAAAACAACCCTTAAAGATGTTTGAAAAACTAAAGGAAGATATGTGGATAAAGCCAAAAAAATAATGTATGAACAAAATGGAAATATCAATAAAGAAATAGAAAACCTGAAAAGAAACCAAAATGAAATTTTGGAGGTCAAAGGTACAAAACCTAAAATAAAAAATCCAATAGAGGCATTCAAAGGAAGATTTGAGCAAGCAGAAGAATCAGCAAACCTGAAGATGAGACAATGGAAATTATTGAGTCTGAGAAACAAAGAGAAAAATAATTAAAGAAAAGTGAACATAGCCTAAGGGACCTGTGGGACAACAACAAGCAGACCAATGTATACATTGTGGATGTCTCATAAGGAGAAAAGAAAAAGAAGGGAACAAAGAAAATATTTGAAAAAGTAATAGCTGAAAACTTCCCAAATTTGATTAAAGATATGAATATAAGCACTCAAAAAGCTCAACAAACTCTAAGATGAATGCAAGGAGACCCACACCAAGAAAATTAAAATCAAACTTTTGAAAGACAGAGAGAGAATTTTGAAAGCAGCCAGAGAGAAGCAACTCATCATATATGAGGGATCCTCCATAAGATTATCAGCAGATTTCTAATCAGAAAAATTGGAAGCCAGAAGGCAGGAGGCTGATATATTCAAAGTGCTAAAAGAAAAAAACAAAAAACAAAAGAAACCTGTCAACCAAGAGTCTTCTATCTGGCAAAACTGTCCTTCCAAAGTGAGGGAGAAATTAATACATTCCCAGGTAAACAAAAGCATTTGATAAAACTCAACATCCCTTCAACAAATTGGGTATAAAAGGAATGTACCTCAACACAATAAAGGCCATATATGACAAACCTACGCTAATATCATATTGAGCAAGGAAAAGCCAAAGTTTTTCCTCTAAGAACTGGAACAAGACAAAGATGCCTACTCTCTCCACTATTACTCAGCACAGTACTGGAAGTCCTAGCCACAGCAATTAGGCAAGAAAAAGAAATAAAGGGCATCCAAATTGGAAAGGAGGAAGTCAAGTTGTCCCTGTTTGCAGATGACATGAGAAAATTGATAAGCTGAACTTCATTAAAATTGAAAACCTCTGCCCCGCAAAAGACAATGTGAAAAGAATGAGAAGACAGGCTACAGACTGGGGGAAAATACTTGCAAAAGATATATCTGATAAAGGACTGTTACCCAAACATAAAAAGAACTCTTACAACTCAACAATAAGAAAACAGCCCTATTAATAAATATCAAAAGACCTTAGCAGACACCTTACCAAAGAAGATATACAGCATATGTATATGCAATGCTATATACAAATAAGTATATGAAAAGATGCTCCAAATCACATGCCATCAGGGAAATGCAAATTAAAACAACAATGAGATATGATTACAGACCAATGAGAACGGCCAAAATCCAAACACTTAACAATGCCAAATGCTGCTGAGGGTGAGGAGCAGCAAGAACTCTCATTCATTGCTGGTGGAAATGCAAAATGGTACAGCCACTAGAAAGGCAGTTTGGCAGTTTTTTATGAAACTAAACATATTCTTACCATATGA